GCTTTAAAGATGATAGTCAGCACCTTGAAGCGCACCCGGAAGGCCACCGGCAGCCAATGCAGCTCGCGCAAAAGCGGCGTAACGTGGGAGCGACGAGTCCCTCCCAACACCGCCCGCGCGGCCGCATTTTGAACTAGCTGGAGCCTCCGGGTGCTCCTCAAGGGGAGCCCCATGTAGAGAGCATTGCAGTAGTCCAGGCAGGAAGTGACAAGGGCATGAGTGACCGTGCGTAAGGTGTTTAGCGACCAACAGGGCCCGGACTGCTCAATTACAGGAGACGGGCTGGAAAGCCAAGCTGAAGTCACTGGTCATTCACAGGACACTTCACCTAGAGCAAGCGGCAACGGGGATAACAATACAAACTCTCCAGGTCTGAGAAGGTCACTCAGGGCAAGAGGCCCTCCCAAATACCTAGCCGATTACGTAAGGTGAACAGGTACATAGCGAGAGCTGACTGAATGGGCTGGAGGGTTGTATTTAAATAAAACAAGGTCGGGGGGGGGTGTCACTGGATCTGGTTCAAAGGAACAGTCCCACACCTTATACATTGTGTAACTTTATTTTATTATTAATTATATTACCATCTATAGGATGGCGTCCATGTGGGCGCAATCTTATTTCATCCAGGGGGAAGGGGTGTTGTGTCCTGAGCCTGCAAGAGGCAGGCTCGGGACGTTGCAAGAGTCCCAGGCATTTGCAGAAGCTGCCCGGGACCAGACTGAGCGGCGCCAGCCTTGTGCGCATGCGCAAGGTGGGAAAAGCCCGCCTCATGATTGGTTGAACTTGCCCGGGGATCAGAGGGTATAAATAGAGGCCTGCGTGCCTCTGCTCGGGTTGTTCGTAGAGTGGAGCAAACAATAAAGACTTGTTGGAGATGATTCGTTTCAAGCGCCATTATTCCCAGGACTTAACAGGGCAAGTCTGACAGTATGGCTAATTTTTGTAACAGCGATGCATCTTCCAATTCCCCGGGGGTGGGGGCGGTCCTATGGCCACTTGTGCCCTCTTCACATGGCCACGCCTGAAGTGGACAAGCCTTCCGTTCCCCACCCTCCAGTCAGAGCTGGAAAAGCTTCCTGGAGCAGAAGCGAAACGTCTTCAAAGCAAACAGAAGGAAGTCCAGTTGCCTCCTGGAAAATCACCTGTGGGATAACTGTGGCCTGGAGGACTGACAGTCTCCACAGACAAGGCCCAGAGGCCCACATGTGTCTGGTTAGTCCACCGGTCAGGGGAGGGGCCGGGAGGCCTGGTCCGTCTATAACCATTAAGAGGGGGTCTGGGGGTCCTCTGGGGTCCTCTCCAGCTCCTTCCACACCTCCTCGATCCTCTCCATGCTGACCCCATGGATGCACACAGAGCGCCGGTAGGCCGAGAGCTCGTCCTTGGGGATGCCCCACACGCGGAAGGCCCCGTCGTGCCGGTGGGGGATCTTGGCTGCCAGCGTCAGGAAGGCCAGGTAGACGTCGTCCAGGGGGAAGACGGGCAGCTGCAGAGAGGCCCGGTACAGGGCGGCCAGCCCCACCCGCGACATGATGAACCCCCCTCCGGAGGCAAAGTTGGGGTAGTGGTCCAGGGGGTAGAAGTCCCGCGAGATGGCATACTTGCCCCCCCTCATGACCGTCGGGTGGACCTGGATGTTGCCGTGGATGAAGTGGGAGACGTTGGGCGTCCGGTGGAGGTAATCGGTCAGCACCTTGGGGTTCACAAAGAGGTCGTCGTCCCCTGAAAAGCAACGGGGTATTTACTTCCTGGGAGGGTGGCAGATCGCCCTCCCGAGTTGATCGTTGGGGTGCACACTCAAGCTTTCGGGGTCACCCCCACCCCCTTCCCAAAGGAACGGCGTCCAGATGGAGCTTTCGGACCCTGGGACCCAAACCACCCAGGGGGGAGGGTCAGAAGGTCAAGATGGGGGCCTGCACACAAGGGAGGCCGGTAACCCGAGGGCAGCTCCATGTGAGATGCTTGCAAGCAGCAGTTAACCATGGTGGCATCCTGGGTGAGTCTGTGAGCTGACAAACCTGCTAGCTAGCATGGGTGGGAGGGGGATGTTAATCCCCTCATTCGTTCTGTATTCCATTTGACCTAAAGACACCTCTAAGCTGTTTGCTCACCAGAAATGAATCCAGTTCCAAGAAAAACAGATCATATCTCCAGCCTGGGTGCTTCTGTCTGAGTTAACCCTTGCAGGGTTCAGACAGCCTCTAGGTCAGGGGTAGGCAACCTTGGCTCTTTTATGACTCGTGGACTTCAACTCCCAGAATTCCTGAGCCAGCAGTCATAAAAGAGCCAAGGTTGCCTACCCCTGCTCTAGATCAGTGGTTCTCAACCTTTTTAATGCCGCGACCCCAACTGGTCGTAAGTCGAGGACTAAACCGGTCATAAGTCGAGGACTAAACCGGTCGTAAGTCGAGGACTAAACCGGTCATAAGTCGAGGACTACCCAACCGGTCGTAAGTCGAGGACATTCCCTGCCCGGGAGCGCCGCGCATGCGTGGTTCCGCCCCCTGCGCCGGCCGAGGCGTAGCTGGCAAGCGGCAGAGACGGAGCAGGCCGACCACCAGCTGGCCCAGCCCAAGGGAGGTAAGGCACCCGCCGGAAAAGGGGGAAAAAATGGCGGACAAAAAAAATGGCGGACAGCCTTGCTTGGCAACCCCCGTGAAATGGTCGATCGACCCCAAATGGGGTCCCGACCCACAGGTTGAGAACCACTGCTCTAGATGGACCCAGGGCAGCTTAGCAAGTGGTGCCAATCAGCTTCCAGACCTTGCCTGCGCTGGGCTGAGCGCATCGTGTGAACGGAGCCCCCGTCGGGTGGCCCCTTGCCCACCTACCTTTGAAGACGAAGGCCGCCTGCTGGCAGTGCCCGTGCACCCACCGGAGGAAGCAGCGCTCCTTGAGCGACAGGTTGTGGTGGCACTCCATGAAATCCCACCTCAGGATGTCGCCAAACACGCGGCTCTCCTGCGCCACCAGCTCCAGGTGCTTCTGGTTGGAGGTGGCCCCCAGGAGGAAAAGGGGCCGCAGCCGGAAGCCCCCCAGCTCTGCCGGCTGGGCCCAGGTGCGGCGCAGGGTGGCCCTCCTGCCGCTAGATGCCGGATGGGATTTGATGGCCAGGAGCAGCAGAGGCGCCCCGGAGGGACCCTGGCAGAAGTCGTCCCGGGCAATCACCTCCTGGCACTGGTAGAGCTGCAGGTGAGGGAAGTGGGCTTCGTAGGCGCTCCGGTTGAATTGGAAGGTGAAGGAGCCGTCGGTCAGGGCTGAGATGGTCTGGCTGCTGAGGGTGGCGGCAGGGGTGCTGGGGACGAGCTGCTCCCGGTGCCAGCCCAGGAGCAAGAGGATGGAGGTCAGGCTGCCCAGTGCCAGCCCCCCAAGCTGGCAGGCTCTGCGGAGGGTGAGCTGAGGAAGGCGTGGGGGAGGCATGGGGGCGAGGAACCTGCGCCAAGCAAAGGGAAAAGCTCCGTCGGAGGGGAAACCCGGAGCCCCGCTGGGCTGGTAGGGTCCCTCAACCGCCACTCCCAAGTGGGCCGTCTGCTTCCCTCCTCCAAACGTGAAAAATAAAATTTTAGAACAAAAAGTGAAGTTAAGTGACACGTACTCTGTACGATTTCTACACTAAGCTGTAGGATTTCATGGTAAAATAGATATAAGGGAATAGGTGAAGCAAAGTAGTAAGGGGCAGGGAGAACGTATTTTNAGGCTCAGCCAATGAAGCCACAGAGGAGGGGCCAGGGTGTCCGGATAGAATGCATATAATGTGTGTCTTTGCTGTGACGAGGGCTGGCTCAAATATTTATTTAGAGGCCACCACGCTTTGCAAACCGTTGTATCTAATACATCTCTGTTTAATTTCAACTTGCTGTTTGGTGTTATTCAGTGGGCTAGAATTTCTGCCAGCACGAAGACCCCGTGCCACACCTGGGGGTGGGGTCCTCCTCCGGCTGGCTTGTCAGGGCCCCCAGGAACCTCCTCCTCCTCCTCCTTCCTCCAGGCTTCTGGGCGCCGCCACTGCAAAGGGAGGCAGCCTCCGCCGTGGGGCAGGCTGGGCGCCTCTTTCCTCTTCCGACCCTGCGAGGTGCTCCTCGCTGGCAGCCGACGAACCCCAGCCTTCCCCTCCCCAGGATTGCTGCCTGCTCTCAGAGGCAGGTAGGGGGGGTCTGCTGCATTTCCCCTCCAGGAGACTCCTTTCCCTCCCTCCCAAATGACCCCATGGTATCTCCTGAGTCTGGTGGCGCTTACCCGCCTCCCCCTCCCCAGACCTCTCACAGGAAGGGCCCCGATGTGCAAAACAGATGCTCTGGAAGTCCCCGTGTGCCCATGGCAGCTGGTGCAGAGGCTGCAGGCGTTGGCCAGGGCTTGCCCTCCCAAAATACACACACACACACAAACAGTTGCAGAGAGCCCCACACAACCTTTCTCCTGGGCAAGAAGGGTCCCTCCGTCACTCTGAGCCGAGGGAATTCCCAGTTCTAAAAGTTGCAGCCGGACAGGCTGGTCCGCCTTGCGCTCCCTTCCCAAAGGAGAAATGCAGATTGCACGGCCAGGTACAGGAAGAGGGTGGGGAGAGCCCAGCACAGCCCCAGCAGGGATTTATTTGTCAGGTCTGCCACCTTCAGCTTCTTCGCTTTGCTGGCATCCTGTCATAAAACGCAGGGGGAGGGAGGGAGGAATTGGGCTAGTAAAGTTCCAGCATGGAAATGATGATGACGATGACAATGACGATGACGATGACGAATATAATAATAATAATAATAATAATAATAATAATAATAATAATAATAATGATGATGATGATGATGATGATCATGATGATGATGATGATGATAATAATAATAATAATAATAATAATAATAATAATAATAATGATGATGATGATGATGATCATGATGATGATGATGATGATGATGATAATAATAACAACAACAACAATAATAAAGTTGGAAGGGACCTTGGAGGTCATCCAGTCCAGCCCCCTGCTCAGACAGGAGGGGAGAGAGTGGAGAAGAACCACAGGTGCCAAACCGGAACAAACCAGCCACCGAGGGCATCTGGCCTGGGAACAGAGTAAAAAAACTGCATCGAGAGGTGCCAAGCGTCAAAGTGGCTCCCAAAACATCAAAACGGCATCCTATTGGACACTGATGGTCAGGGGGGGGGCAAGGAACGGGGGGAAAAATGAAACCTTTGCACGTGAACACTCAGATCTAGCTTTATTTTCACTGCAATCACTTAACTTTAGTAAAAGAACCTGTCGCTTCAACCAAATGGAGTCGAGGGTCTTCCTTTCCTAATGGTCCGAGTTGGGGCAGGTCTGACAGTATGGCTAATTTTTGTAACAGCGATGCATCTTCCAATTCCCCGGGGGTGGGGGCGGTCCTATGGCCACTTGTGCCCTCTTCACATGGCCACGCCTGAAGTGGACAAGCCTTCCGTTCCCCACCCTCCAGTCAGAGCTGGAAAAGCTTCCTGGAGCAGAAGCGAAACGTCTTCAAAGCAAACAGAAGGAAGTCCAGTTGCCTCCTGGAAAATCACCTGTGGGATAACTGTGGCCTGGAGGACTGACAGTCTCCACAGACAAGGCCCAGAGGCCCACAAGTGTCTGGTTAGTCCACCGGTCAGGGGAGGGGCCGGGAGGCCTGGTTCGTCTATAGCCATTAAGAGGGGGTCCGGGGGTCCTCTGGGGTCCTCTCCAGCTCCTTCCACACCTCCTCGATCCTCTCCATGCTGACCCCATGGATGCACACAGAGCGCTGGTAGGCCGAGAGCTCGTCCTTGGGGATGCCCCACACGCGGAAGGCCCCGTCGTGCCGGTGGGGGATCTTGGCTGCCAGCGTCAGGAAGGCCAGGTAGACGTCGTCCAGGGGGAAGACGGGCAGCTGCAGAGAGGCCCGGTACAGGGCAGCCAGCCCCACCCGCGACATGATGAAGCCCCCTCCGGAGGCAAAGTTGGGGTAGTGGTCCAGGGGGTAGAAGTCCCGCGAGACGGCATACTTGCTCCACCGCATAACCTTCGAGTGGGCCTGGATGTTGCCGTGGATGAAGTGGGAGACGTTGGGCGTCCGGCGGAGGTAATCGGTCAGCACCTTGGGGTTCACAAAGAGGTCGTCGTCCCCTGAAAAGCAACGGGGTATTTACTTCCAGGGAGGGTGGCAGATCGCCCCCCCCAAGTTGATCCTCGGGGTGCACACTCAAGCTTTCGGGGTCACCCCCACACCCTTCCCAAAAGAACGGCGTCCAGATGGAGCTTTCGGACCCTGGGACCCAAACCACCCAGGGGGGAGGGTCAGGAGGTCAAGATGGGGGCCTGCACACAAGGGAGGCCGGTAACCCGAGGGCAGCTCCATGTGAGATGCTTGCAAGCAGCAGTTAACCATGGTGGCATCCTGGGTGAGTCTGTGAGCTGACAAACCTGCCTTTCGTCAGAGCTCTCTCTCGGAAAAAGGGGCTGCCCGGTCTTTGGACCTTGGCCGGTCTGCGATGAACGTGGCTCCCCTCCCCCTGGTCGAAGGCCCCCAGCTGACCAAGAGAAGGCCGTTCCCAAAAGGGAGGAGGGCAAAGGGATGCGAAGGGCAGCCTTGTCTGGGGTCTGCCCTTCCCCTTCTTAGATAACTCTCCCCCACTTTCTCATTTGCTAGCTAGCATGGGTGGGAGGGGGATGTTAGTCCCCTCATTCCTTCTGTATTCCATTTGACCTAAAGACACCTCTAACCTGTTTGCTCACCAGAAATGAATCGAATTCCAAACAGATCTTATCTTCAGCCTGGGTGTTTCCATCAGCCCATTAAGCCCCCGCGTATCCCGTTCAGACAGCCTCTGGGTCACGGGTAGGCAACCTTGGCTCTTTTATGACTCGTGGACTTCAACTCCCAGAATTCCTGAGCCAGCAGTCATAAAAGAGCCGAGGTTGCCTACCCCTGCTCTAGATGGACCCAGGCCTCCTTACCAGGTGGTGCCAATCAGCTTCCAGACCTTGCCTGCGCTGGGCTGAGTGCATCGGACCTGGATATCTCCGAGACCGCCTTCTGCCTCAGATTACCTCCCATCGGCCGGTACGCTCCCACAGAGTGGGTCTCCTCAGGGTGCCGTCAGCCAGACAGTGCCGGCTGGCGACCCCCAGGGGGAGGGCCTTCTCTGTGGGAGCTCCCACCCTCTGGAACGAACTACCCCCAGAGATCCGGGTGATCCCGGATCTCCCTTCCTTCCGCCGCGCCCTCAAGACTTGGTTATTTAAGCTAGCAGGACTGGCCTAAGGGGTATTTTTAGTTGGGTTTTAAAACAATTTTTAAAATAATAAAGGCCAAATTAATATTTCCTTTTAATTACGTTTTAACGGTAGTATTTTTGTACTTTTGTATTTGTTTTTATTAGGCTGTTAGCCGCCCTGAGTCCGCAAGGAGAAGGGCGGGGTAAAAATATAATAAATGAAATGAAATGAAATGAAATCGTGTGAACGGAGCCCCCGTCGGGTGGCTCCTTGCCCACCTACCTTTGAAGACGAAGGCCGCCTGCTGGCAGTGCCCGTGCACCCACCGGAGGAAGCAGCGCTCCTTGAGCGACAGGTTGTGGTGGCACTCCAGGAAATCCCACCTCAGGATGTCGCCAAACACGCGGCTCTCCAGCGCCACCAGCTCCAGGTCCTTCTGGTTGGAGGTGGCCCCCATGAGGAAGAGGGGCCGCACCCGGAAGCCCCCCAGCTCCGTCGGCCGGGCCCAGGTGCGGCGCAGGGTGGCCCTCCTGCCGGTAGACGCCGGGTGGGATTTGATGGCCAGGAGCAGCAGAGGCGCCCCGGAGGGACCCTGGCACAAGTCGTCCCGGGGAATCACCTCCTGGCACTGGTAGAGCTGCAGGTGAGGGAAGTGGGCTTCGTAGGTGCTCCGGTTCAAGGGGAAGGTGAAGGTGCCGTCGGTCAGGGCTGAGATGGTCTGGCTGCTGAGGGTGGCGGCAGGGGTGCTGGGGACGAGCTGCTCCCGGTGCCAGCCCAGGAGCAAGAGGATGGAGGTCAGGCTGCCCAGGGCCAGCCCCCCAAGCTGGCAGGCTCTGCGGACGGCGAGCTGAGGGAGGCGTGGGGGAGGCATGGGGGGCGAGGAACCTGCGCCAAGCAAAGGGAAAAGCTGCGTCGGAGGGGAAACCCAAGTGGGCCGTCTGCTTCCCTCCCTCCGAAGACCCCGCGCCACGCCTGGGGTTGGGGTCCTCCTCCGGCTGGCTTGTCAGGGACCCCCAGGCGCCTCCGCCTCCCTCTCCTTCCTCCCGGCTTCTGCTCCGAAGGGAGGCAGCCTCCGCCGTCGGGCGGGCTGGGCGTCTCTTTGCTCTTCCGACCCTCCCCGGAAAGGGAGCCACGAGGTGCTCCTCGCGGGCAGCCGGCCAGCCCCAGCCTTCCCCTCCCTCCCCGGGGGCAGAGAGGGAGCCGGGCTGGGCTCTGGACGCCCCGCGGGGCCGGAGGATCCCCCCCCCCCCACACGCCCCAGGCTGAGGCTCCCGTCGGGGCTAAGACGGCGCCTTCCTCGGTCGGAGCGTCTCTCGCGGAGCGGCGGCTGCGATGCTCAGGCTGGCTGGGCGGCGGGAGCCCCTGATCAGAGCCCAGCCCGCCCTGGCGAGGGGGCTCACCTGGGGAAGAGCAGCCCTCCTGCCCCGCGGTCTTCCGAGGGGAGGGGAGGAGGAGGAGGAGGAGGAGGATGGAGAGGAGGAGGAGGAGGAAGAGGAGGAAATGTCCAGTATAACGAAGAGAAGGACGAGGGGGGGGGGGGGACACAGGATAGCAGCCTTCCAGTATCTCAGGGGCTGCCCCAAAGAAGAGGGAGTCAAGCTCTTCCCCAAAGCCCCTGAAGAAGGCAGGACAAGAAGCAACGGATGGAAATAAATCAAGGAGAGAAGCAACCTAGAACTAAGGAGAAACTTCCTGACAGTGAGAACAATTAACCCGTGGAACAACCTGCCTCCAGAAGCGGTCAATGCTCCAACACTGGAAGTTTTTAAGAAGAGACTGGACAGCCCTTTGTCCGAAATGGTGTAGGGTTTCCTGCCTGAGCAGGGGGTTGGACTAGATGACCTCCAAGGTCCCTTCCAACTTTACTATTATTATTATTATTATTAAATGCGGATGGAGAGGAGGAGGGGGAGGAAGGAAGGGGGAGAGGAGGAGAAGGAGGAGGAGGAGGAAGAGAAGAAATGAGGATAGAGAGGGGGAGGGGAGGAAGGAAGGTGGAGGAGGAAGAGGAGGAGGAGGAGGAGGAGGAGAAAGGAAGATGGAGGGTGGAAAGGAGGACTGTGGGGGGTCCTTGGTGCTGCCAGCAATGGGGCAGCCAAGGACGCGCCCTGCCAGAGGCCAGTCCCAGGACTCCCTGCCTCCCTGCCCCTCCCCACAGTCTCTCAGCGCCTGGGCCTCGCTCGCCCCCTCCCCAGCCCCAAACAGAGGCGGGGGGGGGCAAGGTCCAAGCAGGCTGGCGGAGGGGGAGACCCTTGCGCACCTGCCCCAGCTGCGGCTCAGCCCTGTGGAATGAAGGGTGCTCTGTGGCCGGGAGAGCAACTTTACCCTCCGTGTGTGTCCCTCCCGTTTCCCACGTGCCGCCTCCCCTGTCTGGGATGGGTGGCTGGTTGACGGGACGGCTGCGTTTCGCAACTCGGGCAAAGGTGCCAGCGCTGGAGTCGGACAACGGGCACCGGGCCTGCAGGCAGGGTTCAAGGAACTGAGAGAGAGAGAGAGAGAGAGACGGGCTCTCAACCTCTCCAACTTTAAGCTGGGTGGACTTCAACCCCCAGAATTCCCCAGGCAGCAGGGCTGCCTGGGGAATTCTGGATGTTGAAGCCCACCCAGCTTAAAGTTGCTGAGATTGGAAACCTGTTAGGTAAGAAGAGTCCTCTGATGGCTTTGGCCAGGTTTTAGAGTTTATTTTTTTTTGGTATTTATTTAAAACGTTTATTTATGCGCCCGCCCACCTTTCAACCAAGTTTGGGAAGCCCCCCCCCAATCAAAAATTAAAAAGACGCACGAAAGCCACTTGAGGTCCCATGAGGGGAACTGGGAAGGAAGAGAAGGACCAGGGGTGACTTGGTGGGACCTTCCCCTACTTGAAAGAGAGGGGAGGGGGTCTCCATTAATTTATCCAAAGCACCCAAGGACAACGCAAGGAGCAATGAATGGAAGCTCATGAGAAAAAAAAACGACCGGTCTGGAAACCAGGAGAAATTTCCTCACCGTGAGAACAATTAATCCGTGGAACTGCTTGCCTCCAGAAGTTATGGATGCCCCACCGCTGGAAGTTTTCAAGAAAAGGGTGGACAGCCATTTGTCTGGAATGGCTTGGGGTCTCCTGCCTGAGCAGGGGGCTGGACTAGATCAGGGCTTTTCAACCTTTTCACCCCTTGTACCACTTTTAGGATATGGCAACATCCGAGTACCACCAGTCGCCTAGCAAGGGGTCAAAAACTTGAACCCCCTCCCAAAAAAGGAAAAAAAGTAATAAAGTATAGGTAGTCCTCGACTTACAACTGTTCGCTTAGTGACTGAAGTTACAATGGCACTGAAAAAAGTGCCCCCCAAGCCACAGCCGAGCAAGACACCTGCCTGCCCGCCCGGCCGCGCTCTTCCTCCTATTTCATTGTTGTGAGCATTTCTGTTGAGGATTGGCAGTGGGGGTGGGGTGGGGGGGTGTTTGGTTTTTATCCCCCCCCCCGCTGGGTGGTTGCAGCAGGTTTTGGTCCCTTCACATGACCCTGGGACACTGTGACCGTCATAAATATGAATCAGTTGCCAAGCCTCTGAATGTAAATCACAAGACCCTGGAGAGGCTGCAACATTCCAGCTGATCGGCACTTCTTCTGGGCTCAGCGGAAGCACCAGGATCAGCGCTGAGCTCCAACTGGAGCCTGGCACTGATCCTGGCACTTCCACTGAGCGCAGACAGTCCTGAAGAAGCACCAATCAGCTGGAAAGTGGCACTGATCCTGGCGCTTCCACTGAGCCCTGACAGCCCTGCAGCTCAGGCTTGTGCGGTGCTGCCATCGGTTCAGCCCATTCGTGTTGCAATTATCAGCAAAATACCCTATGAATATACCTCTGGGCACTTTTCCACTGCTGTAGGTTTCATCTCTAACATAAGTTTCGTTTCCTATGAAATGCCTGTAGTTCTTTGTTCTTTGTCCATACAATGAGCTCATCCCGAGACAATTCAAAGCAAAGGACTGAATTCAGGGTAAAGGATCTTTTCGGACGGAACTTCTGGGATCCAAAGACTATGCATTCGATTTCTTACTAAATCCCAGAGGACCAAAGAACATTCTCGCTCCATATATGGTAATGAAGACCCTTTCCCCCTCCTGCTTTTGTACACCCCCTAATGACGTTTATAGACCAATAAAAGAGAGGCACAAAGGCTTTTCAGGGCTCTCGCTCTCGCCTGCCATCTCACCTGAAGAAACATGTTTGTCCGTGTGTTTCTCTATCTGAGCGAGGTCCGTTGATGGTGTTCAACGTACATCACCAGTCCATTCCTCTGGAGAGGAATAAGTTCATCCTGCAGGCGCAGGACCCCGGGATTTTGCAATCCCACACATTCGCCTCCCCCACTACTTTTCTAGGATGGTCGCGTACCCCCTGCCAGGTGCCCATGTACCACAGGTGGCACCCGTACCACTGGTTAAAAAGCCCTGGTCTAGAAGACCTCCAAGGTCCCTTCTGGTTTCTCCACACATCATCCTTAATGAGGGACGCCTGCGAATCTTTCTCCTTCTGTTCTGGCTTCTTTTTACAGAGGCACACAATTGGGAGCGTTTTAACAAACTGCACCACACTGATGGGTTTGGTGGCAGCAGAGCCTCTGATAGAAGCTCCACACAGAGAATGGTGAGGACAGCCGAGGTTATAGGAAGCTCGCTTCCGTTATTCAGGACGCTGCTTAGAAGCGCGCATGTGTGCCTAGAGCTCCGAGCATAGTTATTTATTTATTATTTATTTATTATTTTATTAATTTAATTTATATGCCGCCCTTCTCCCGACGGGACTCAGGGCGGCGCACAACATAGAATTTTGGTTTTGTATATATGTTAGGGGGGGAATTTTGGCTTAATTTGGTTTAAATCTCAACGCAGAAAGTTTAAGGATTTTTTGGGTTATATTTTAGGTGGGATCCAGTCCAGGCGAACGACTTTCTCGGTACAGAACTGGGCGCGACGGAAGGTAAGGAGATCCGGAATTATCCGAATCTCGGGGGGTAGTTCGTTAGATGTTCTGTCCCAGCCTACGTAAGTCCTTGCTATGCTCACAAGGGGAAACCCCTCTCCCAACAAGCAGGCAGGAACCGCAAGAAAAAAACAGCCCCTTTTATTCTCACAGACCTGAGTCAATGTCCAAGGCAAACAAACGCAGGCCACAGAAACTCGATCCTCAACACCAGACACGTCAAACACAAGGCCCCGGGGCTGGATGCGGCCCGCGAAGTGGTATCATGTGGCCTGCAAAGCCTGGTATCATGTGGCCCGCGAAGCCATCCTGGAAACAGTGAGGGAACATCACCCGCTGCCTTGGCCCTGGCCCAGGCTGGCCGGGAGCCAATGTACAATTTTGTGGTGGCCATCTATGCTGAAACGCATTCAGTCCTAGCTCCACAAGGCCGTCTGGAAACAGCGAGGAACCAGCCCTTGCCGCGTCGTCCCCGTCCCCTGGGTGCATGCTGGGAGGTGTCACCCTTTGTGAGGAATGAAGAAATGGACCATGCCTTGGCGCTTGCCCTGGTCCCACCCCCTTCTGCCAGAGACCCTCAGATCTGTCCCACTCCTGGTCAGGCCCCCACAGGCACCCTTGACGCGAACGATGTAGAGCTGGCCATGCCCACCCAGTAGGCCGCATCCATCCTGGCCACACACACCCGCCCCCTCGAGGGCAACCGCAATGCTGATGCGGCCCTCAATGAAATTGAGTTAGACACGCCTGCTCAACACGAACGGCGGCCTTCGGCAACCGGCACCTCCCACCTCTCTCCCTTTTATAATTCAGCCCAGGCATGGCTTCCTAATGCCTTCTCCTCTTTGCCGTTGGAGCCGCCCCATTGCATCCCTCTGTCCTACTCGCTTCTCTTGCCTGCGCTTTCGTGCATCCTGGATTTGTCCCAGCTGTTCTTCATCATTGTCCAACTCAGGCTCCCAGCACAGCTGTGTCTCAGCCTGCGTGCGAGTAGAGGGGCCAGGCTCCTCGTCCGACTGTTAAGTCTTGGAGCTCCTCAGAGCCTTCCCCTCCCCCAAGTGTCCCTGCACTGCCCCACGGGATGCTGGAAGTCCCCTCTCCTCAAACCCAGCCCCCTCGCCAGACAACCTTCCTTATCTCTACAGCTCAACGTATCTCAGCTTATCTCTTAATACCCAACCTGGGCCATTCCTGAGGTGAAAGTCAGGAGAGTGCCATTTTTATGACGTGTGCAATTGATGGATTAAAAAGGGCGCTCCCCTGACTTTCACTTCAGGAGTGGCCCAGGTTGGGCATTAGGACATTTGTGTCCCAACCCGTCACACAGTTACGACACCAGTCCAGGAACAATGTGTCCTTTTTTTCAGTTTTTAGTTATTTAGAAAGGGAGTTTCTCTCTCGTTAATTGTCATAATTTTTTTATTGTTACAGCAACCCGGACTGCTTTTTATTGTTACAGCAACCCGGACTGCTTTTTATTGTTACAGCAACCCGGGCTGCTTTTTATTGTTACAGCAACCCGGGCTGCTTTTCCTCCCAAGCCACAGCCATTCCTCCCACACAGGGGTCTCCCACCGTGGCAACTTTTAAGACTTTGGACTTCAACTCCCAGAATTCCCCAGCCGGCTCTGTTCCGTTGACAGCATTCCCACCACCCCTTAAGAAAGTTACCCTTATCCAAAAACTGCAATGAAGCCGTCTGGCCACATCTGTTCTTGTCCTAACCCAGGATTAGGCAACTTTGGCTCTTTTAGGACGCGTGGACTTCAATTCCCAGAATTCCTGAGCCAGCATAGCTGGCTCAGGAATTCTGGGAGTTGACGTCCACGCGTCCTAAAAGAGCCAAGGTTGCCTACCCCTGTCCTAACCCATGCTGAATTCTGGTAAACCCTTGCTGGCTGGGGAATTCTGGGAGTTGAAGTCCACAAGGTGTAAAGTAGCCAGGTTTGGACAGCCCTGTTCTGGCGACGAATCTCGTCTTGGGAGAGACCCACTGGGAGAATAGCTTAACACTGAAAGTTTTTAAGAAGAGACTGGACAGCCATTTGTCCGAAAAGGGTTTCCTGCCTCAGCAGGGGGTTGGACTAGATGATCTCCAAGGTCCCTTCCAACTTTATTATTATTATTAATAATAATAATAATAATAATAATAATAATAATAATAATAATAATAATAATAATTATTATTATTATTATTATTATTATTATTATTATTACTATTATTATTAAACCACCAAGCAGCCAAGCCAGCCAGCTTCACGTGGTGCTAACCCTCCTCAAATCCCAGTCAGATTAAAATAAACCCACTTTAGTCCTCTGGTCTTTAACGGAACTGGCTGGGAGTGCCGGCCAGGGAGGGAAGGCCGGGCTCAACCCGGCCCCAGCAATGATCTGCCCATCCCGCAGCCTCCGGGGCAACAGGAAGCACCCCAGGCCTAGCAGCGGCTCCAGAGCTTGGTTGAAGGGCTCCCCAGGGCAGGAGCCCATCCTGGGTGATGCAGGAGCTGCCGCCCATACTTTGATGCCGCCAGCACGTGCCAAGCAGGTGGTGCCCATCCACAGCCAGTCCCTTGGAAGGGGCTCAAACTGCTGGTCCATGTCCCGTGCCTCGCTTCAGGAATGCCTCTTTCACGGGAGGGTGGAGGGGTTCTTTGGCCCTGAACTGGGGCAAGCAGAGGTTGTAGAAGGAGGCCTCCTCAAAGGAGCCAAGCGCCCGCCAGGAAACCCACCGCTGGGCCTGGGCTTCGTGCCGGCTGAGCGAGCCTGCTGGGCCGTAGTAGTGTGGATCCAGAGTGAGCAGGTGGTGTCCCTCGGGGCCAGAGCAGACCCCCAGCAACCCCTTGGAGACGTGGTCCCGGCCTCCCCCCATCATCACGGGCCCCCCACCCTCCTGAAAGTGATCATACAAGGTCTCCAGCTCCCCTTCCAGGTCTCGGCCGAGGCGGACGTGGAGCAGCTTGCCCGGCACGCCGTAAAAATAATCGAGGCAGAGCGCGGCTTCCACGGTGCCGATCCAGTCCCGCGAGCCTGCGAAGGAGGGGGGCTTGTCCCCCATCTCCACCAGGGAATCCTGGATCTCCTTCAGGGACGGAACCGGCCGGCCGGCGGCTGCTTCTGCCCCAGCTGCCGCCAGCCAGGAGCACATCATCTGGAGGGTACGGTAGCCGCAGCCCCACCCTCGGTCGTCCACACCGTCGTAGCCGTAGTGGTAGTGGCGGTAGGGCCCGGCCACGAGGGCCCGGCGATGCGGGCAGCCCGGAAGGGGAAGGCCAAGGTGGACGGCGGACAGCAATGCCATGCCCGATGCTGGACGGTCTGAAAGAGGAGAAGAGCAGATGTGTGGGAAGCGGAGCGGAGGAAGGGCGAGTGGCCGCTTCCAGTACAGGCAGTCCTCGACTTACGACGACTATGTCCCAAATTTCTGTTGCTAAATGAGACAGTTGCTAAGTGAATTTTATGACCTCTCTTGCTTTTTATGACCTTGACTTTGCTGGTCAGAAAAGGGGACCACGTGACCCAGCATCTAAGCCAGGCAACCTTGGCTCTTTTAGGACTGCTGGCTCAGGAATTCTGGGAGTTGAAGTCCACGCGTCCTAAAAGAGCCAAGGTTACTTACCCCTGATCTAAGCCAACATCTACTTGCTTGCAACATCCAGCTTGTGGGTCCCGAGGCGGCATCGTAAAAAAGGTGGTTTGAAAGACCGGTTTTTAAGAAGGGAAGGGATACGTCTGAGTCACCGGAAGAGGAAAAAATGAGTTATCTTTGCATTCGGGGAGGGAAAGCTGAATCCTCACCCAAGCACGTCACACCCAAAGTAAGCCTTCCGACACGGAGTTACTGGGCGAGGGGTCCAGCTGGCCAGAGACAGTAGCCAAAAAGTTGGTTCTGAGCTCCCCTTTAATGCCATCAGGTGCTCGTCCGAATTGCTGCCGCCCATTCAGTGTCCAAAACCCTCCTGCAGTTGGATGCAGGCTGCACAGGGCTTCAGACCGGCGGCCGGCTCACGGAATCCGGGTGAGGGGTCCTCACCCCCACCCCTGTCCGACCGTGGCCCGACGTTACATCCCCAAGACAAATCCAGGAAAGGGTAACCCAAACCCGCCCAAAATCGTCTCGGACAGCGAGACAACTTGGTGTATAATTTTCATAAATAAAAACCCACCAGGATTAGGCTGCTGGGCATATAAATTTAATAAGATGTCTCTCTGGAATATCTTGCCCCCCCCCAAAGTGAGGTTGGCCCCTTACCGTCCTTAACAGCTTGAAGAGTCCGACTCTGGCTTGGGGCTGCAAATGGGGGGGAGGTTTCACATTAGGGGGGGTTGATAGATTAATGTCAGACCCCCCCTCCCCCCTCTGCTCATCCTTCTCCCTCCCTTCCCATCTTTTCGTTAGCCGTCCTCAACTTACGATCACAATGCAGCTCCAAATTTCCATTGTTAAGTGTGTTTTGGCTCATTTTACGACCTTTCTTCCCGCAGTTGTTAAGTGAATCACTTCACTTGTTAACTTAAGTCACACGGTCGTTAAATGAATCGGCCTTCCCCATTGGCTTTCCTTGTCAGAAGGTGGCAAAAAGGTGGATCACGTGACCTTCGGACGCAGCGACCGTCATAAATACGAGTCGCTTGCCAAGCGCCTGCGCTTTGATCGCATTGACCGGGGGGGGGAGGGGAATGCTGCAAAGGTCATTAACGGGTCACTTTTTTCAGTGCCCGTGTAACTTTGAATGGTCACTAAACGGACTGCTGTTAAGCCGAGGACTGCCTGTATTTGCCTTTGCACAGAAGCTTATAGGGACTTTTGCAGAGTTTCATCAGAAGTACGGTAAGCCGCTCAAGAGTCACCCCGGGGCAAGATGGGCGCCCAACATACTTTTGAAGGGTTCTGGAACAAAGGGAAATTTTTTAGTCCAGGGGTGGGCAACCTTGGCTCTTTTATGACTCGTGGACTTCAACTCCCAGAATTCTTGAGCCAGCCAGGCTGAGGGGAAAGGGAGGGGTTTCCAAG